TGGAACTACTGAATTTGGTCTTCTCCGAACAAATCATCAAAGATTGATGCCCAATTGATTAATCCAAAAACAGTCTTGTTTTGTATTGAGGATCCAGTCATGCGATCAAGGGTTCTTAAACGTCACTGCTGGCACATTGGAGAGATCCCTCTGGTGGTGCAAGAATGGAGTCCCAAATCCTCTAGTCAAAAGCCAGATCTTTCTTCGATGTCAATATGGGTGGATTTTACAGGAGTTTCAGACCATCTTTTCTCGGAAATAGGATTAAAATTCCTAGGAGATATAATTGGAATCTCTCAAAAGCTGCACCCTAACACTCTCAGGCGTATTCGGTTGGATGTTGCTCGATTTTTAGTGGTGGTTAACTTAGAGAAACCATTACTCAACTCTTATCTCTCTAAATGATGAAGAGGAAACTTTGATCAAAGTATCCAGGTGTGTAACTTGTAACTCATGGGGACACAAAGAGACTGAATGTGCACAGATGAAGAAGGGATCGGTAGTGATGCCGGTTCAGAATGAAACAGCAAGCTCTCCGGTGATTTCGAGTACTTTCAGAATTTCTCCGGTGACAAGAACTGCAGTGACTCAGCCAAAAAAGAGTTCACAGCAGAAGGAGCAAGATAATGACGAAGGTGAAGTAAGCTCAGAGACTAAGGGGAATGAAAACTCAGTTAGTGAAATAGAGCAGCAATGGACAAAGGTAACTAAAGGAGGGAAAAGCTCTCCTCAAAATTACCCAGCAACAGACAAGTACATCGATTGACATTGTGACAGGAAATATGTCCCCATCTAGATTCAATGTCCTCACGGACATCAATGAAGATGAAATAGAGCAAGAAGAGGGAGAAATTGTAAGCGGGTTTGACTTGAAGGAGGTGGCTAACAACTCAACACCTCATGAAGAAGAAAAGCAGTCAATTGCTAAGGCAAAAGGTACTAGTCAGAGGAAGAGAAATGGGCAACGTAAACCGAATGTGAACCCCAAAGACCAAGATATTGCACCAAACGAGAACAAAAAAAATGCACAAACACAATCTGGTCAACTCATGGTTAAGTACTGCAAATCCTACATTCGGTTGTCTCCTTGAGACTAGAGTGCAGGAGGAGAATAGTTCAAGCATCATTTCACGTGTATTTCCTGGTTGGGAATATGTAACAAACAACGATTATCACAGACTTGGTCGTATTTGGCTGGTCTGGTCTGCTGAAGTTACAGTCACTGTTCATTTTAAAAGTCCGCAAATGATCACGATTGGAATTGAAACAGTTCGAGGAGAGACCTTTGTTTGTTCGTGTATTTACGCCTCCAACTTTAGGAACGATCGTCTCACTCTATGGGAGGAGATTAAAAACGTTAAACAGTTTGGTCAAGGCAATCTACCTTGGATCTTATTAGGGGATTTTAATGTCACATTAGCTTCTGATGAACACTCTCGTGTGTCGTATGGGTTAGGAGATCAGTTGGGGATGCAAGATTTCCAAGAGTTAGTTTTTGTCATGGCCCTAGCCCAAATAAACCCTCAAACCCTATGGCCCATTTCGTGTGGCCCATATATCTTATAAAACGCCAAAGAGAGGAAGGAGTAGAGATCATCCTTGCAGCGAAGCTCTGCCCTTTTTCACTCGTGACCTAGCCACTGCCGCTGTTGAGTATGTCAGTCGTGAGCTCCGGTGACCGGGAAGACCAGGGAAAGGAGGAGCAAAGGAAGGCCGTTGCGAGCAGTGACTTTGCGGGATGATTTCCGAACGAATCGTAACGTTTCAGATGACTTTCTTCATACGTCTGGATAGATCTCGATTCAAGGTTTCCACAGCATCTTTCAGATCCCGATTCCGAGGTAAGACGAGTTTGCAAATTGTATTTGAAGTTGTCCCTGCATTGCTGTTTCTGCATAAGAAAAACTGTTTCAGAATTATCTGTTTTCCAGTTTCGAGGAGCGGTTTTTGGAGGAGATTTCCCGTCGATTCAGAGAGTATCTGATCCCGGTTTTGGTGTCTCTGGAAAGGTGTTGTTGCAAAGATTACAGATCAAGTCCGATAAAAAATCAGTGAGTTGTTGGTGTTGCTTTCTGGTCAAGTAATGCTTAGTCTGTCAAAAATCCAGAAACCCTAATTTGCTCTAAAACGCAGATACATATTGGAATCGCTATTTTCAGAGTTTCAGACCGTCAGGAGTAGCGTTTCAACCATTTTTCTTCCAAACTTAGTTTTTGGACCTTATTTCTAAGGTGAGGGTGGGATATGTGGACTTTTAATATTACTAATTAATTTGTATTCGTTATGCTAAGTCTAGGAGAT